AGTTCACAATTAACCCGTTGTTTTTCCATATTGTAATGCCTTAAAGATTCATTTAACTTAAACTTGAGGCTTTCACGTGGTTCTCTAAATCATGTCTTCTCGTAATTATCCTATGGATGGGCTTGGTGAACGGAACCTTGACACATTAAACTAAAAATATAAGAAAAGAAAGAAAAAAATCCAGATTTGATTCTTTTGTTAGTTAAATCGTTAAGTGATTCTTTTATTTCCGTTGAAACCGTTTAGTCTAAAACTCGTTTTCAAATTATTATGAATCGTTTGGTTGCTTTTAGCATTTCAGAATTTTTAAGAAATTATTTTTCTGATCTCTATTTAAACGAAATAATGATAAGTACGATAAATACGTCTTTTAGACGTCGCTCTGACATTGACTCACCCTTTTATTTTATTTTTATAGTTAAAAGAAACGTTAATAACTTCCGTTATGTAAATACTAATTTAAGCGATTTCATCGCTCAGTAATGAAATAGAATAAAAATAAGTGTAGTTAAGTAAGTTTAGTATTAATAAAACTTTTTCATTTTTACTACTTGTTAAAGAACTAAAAATTAAATATTTTCAAAAATAGTTCTAATTTTAGACACCCTTAAATTATTGTTAAAATAATCAATTTTCGGAATATGTATCTGCATTATGCAGTATACATGAACATATTAAGAGTGCACAACCTTTTCGGAAAAGAGCCGCTGACAAAATACTTCAGTTTTAGGAGGCTACAATTAATAACATTTTTAAATCAGTTGATAATAATTTAATTATTTCGTAATTTAATAAAAACAAACATGGAAGTTGTTGAAATTATATTTTTAAATTAAAAAAATTAATTTTTGCACACTCCGTTTATTAAATAATAGCAAGCTTATTTTATTATTATTATTATTTTATTTATTTTTATTTATTATTTTTTGCTGTATGTAAGTTATTTACATAATTAACTTTATTAGCTTACTAAGGATTAAGATGTTTTAAAATGTAAGATGAAGCTATATGCATTTTTTTTTAAATCCTTGAACTTATATTGTATTAAAGATATTTTGGTTAACAAAAATTTTCTTATGTGGAAAGATTAAGATTTTGGCTTCTTGATTTCGTTTCTTGATTCGCATTCTGAAATTTTATTGATTTAATTTCAATGTTTTTCTCAAAGTTAATTGAAAACCGTTTCTTAAAACAGTTACATAATTTATTACGCTAAATATAATATTTCTTTTCTAATTATATTTTGGTTGAAAGTCAGGGAGCCGCGCATAAATATTCGACACATAAATATTTGTGCACATCTGTCACCTAGTGATGTCTTTTTAGTCTTAAATATTCGCAGATACTCTAAGCTAAACAGTTAAAACGGTTTTCTATTCTGTGTCAGATATTCGGAATAGAAATATGAGAAACTTGGACAGAATTCGATGTTCTCTAAAATAGCTTCCCTCCTCACGGTTAAGGGTTAATAAATCTTATCTTTCTATCTTCGTACTTAAAACGGAACAATTAAGTCTCTGTTCATCTTATTAATATAAACATTGTTCCTTGCGCTACAGTGTTGATAGTCGACTCACCGCAGTTCACTATCCAATCGGTGACAAGAATAACTGTCATGTGACTGTCAAATCAAATGGAGATCAAAGTATAAGTGGAATAAATATCATATAATGCTCATAAAGATCGTTTGTGTAAAAAGAAATCGATTGTTTATTCTTTCCTGCTTAAATATCGTTAGGAACATTTTTTTCTTTTTTTTAATCTCGTCTGCTTCTAAAAATGAATCTCGGATATTTCATTTCCTACAATGCTCTTGATTTATTATCTAAAATACTTGTGATTGACTTCACCTTGTTGCTGAGATGTTTCGTCATCGTGTTCAAAAATTTCTGAACAACTTTTTTTTTAAATATTTATATTGTATGATTTATTTTATTAAATATTGTTGTTAAAAGACCTATTTTTAGACTACATTCGAATTTGCAGAATAATTCTGTTTTTCAACACTTGATGGTTAAGATTCTTCTTTGTGGTAGCGATTTACAATTGATTTTATAATAGTAATAAACATTTAAACTTTTTCAAGAATATAAGTGAGGGCTTTCGTATATTTATTGAAATTATAAATTACTAGTTGTGGTCAAAATCATTATGAATCAATTTCGTTAAAGGATTATAATGCAAATGTAAGCACTTTAACGCTATAAAAATAATAATAAAATAACCCGAGACAATCATTAGTTTCAACAGCCAACAATTTATGAATTATTAGCAAAAACAGGTTTTTCTAAACATTATTTTAATAGTTATTGCATAAATTTTCTGATTAAAGTTTTAAGCATTATTTATATATTTTTAAATATATTGTTGAAATATTAATATAATATTAAATACTAAATAAGTTTCTTTTTTTTATTATCAATTTTAAGTATTTCTTGGAAGGCAAAAAAGTTTTTCTAATATTTTGATATATGTATCTAAAAATAAGTTGAATCAAAATTTATATTTAATTTTAATAAATGTTAGAAGATCAGCTTATTTTCATACTTGAATTGATTATTCACGAATAAATGTTTTGAGTACGAAACTACAGAATAAACATTGGCGCGGCTACGATTCTATAAAATTAAGTAAAGTTTTCTATTCTTACTTGGAAACATAGAAACATATCCTAAGTAAAGAAATGTGAATTAAGCAAAATAAAATGTTTTTTTTTTCTTCACGCAAAAGCCCTTTATGGAACAGGGGTCATGGAGGTTAAGGTTCGACTATTACTTTACTAATGGCAATGGTGTTGCGCACAAGCAGCTTTTACTTCCCATATAAGCTGATACACATTGATTTGAAGCTGGATAGGTTTCATACCCTCATACGAGATCGACCCCCTAGTTCAAAATTAATAAAATACGTAACAAAATTTGTAACTTCATCAATCTTAACATTAAATCCAAAGCCATAAATCCAAAAGTATGACGGCTGTTCAACGAAGGTAAAAAGTACTAAAAAGCACGAAAAACGTGATAATTGTTTTTCAGGATATTTCACCAACTTAAAAACTAATAATATAAAATTAAAATGAAACTTTTAAATTTTCTGATTTGAAACTTGAATTCTTGTATTTAAAATCTTGTTTTGGTAGACATATTTACTAGCATGAAAGTATATTTTCTAAAGCACTTTATATTTTCCTGCAAAAAAAATTTAAGAATCATGAGATGGCGCTTTGATCGCAGAAGCACGGATTACAAATGAATAAAAAGAAGAGATGCCGAAGTCGAGAGAGAAACGGGGGATTAAAAAAACGTTTCTGTACCTGCTCATTAAGGCTCTATTACGCCTCATTAGTGACGTACGTCATCTTTTTGCTTGTTGAAGATGCAGGCAAAAAAAAAAAAAAAAAAAAAAAAACAACTTAGAAACGACCCCGCGTCCGTAGAAGTTGGCGACATAAAGTCGCCATTTTGAATTCAACATGGATGGATATTGTATACGAGTAAATTATCGTTTGCAACAACGTATTATTTATGAAGCAAGGTGAAAGCTCTTTCAATGTTATCATACGAGACAATAGAATTTTTTTTTAAGTGAGTGGCAATAGTTTTTCTCCCACGGATCTTAAAGTAGAACGTTTTGAAACCTTGGTGGAACAGTAGCTTCTGGTCAGTTGTGTTTGTGGGATAACAAACAATTTTTTTTTTCTTCATTTGTTTGCTTTTATTTTCTGTTTTTTTTGTTAGTCTCCAGGTTCTAGATGCTGTTCGAATTTAGCTTTGCATCAATATAAAACTCGTCGTAATATTCAGTTTTTCTAAAATAAAGTTTTTTTGATAAGGTAATATTAATTAGTCCATTATTACTCTTTATCACATTGAAAAAAAGTTATCGAGCTAAATATTCTCTTTACAAGTTGTAGACCTGCGACAGTGTTACTTGGCAGTATTACTGGTGTTAGGTATGATCAGGGATAATACGATACCACGATAAAGTCTATATGAACAACAGACATTTCTTCCTATTTTTTTACTTCCTTTTTTGCTACATTTTGCTTGGATTCAAAATAATAAATGTTTATATTATTAATGTATTATGACAGAGCACAGAATCTTGTTTCTTCAAAGCAAATTCAAAGGGGAAAAAAAAAAACAATTATTCTGCTACATTTTCTTTTTTGGAAAAATAAATAAATAAATGAAACAAATAAATAAAGGAAATAAATAAATCGACGAAATAAATAAATTCGCAGACGAACAATTACTATAACCAGGGGTCTGTCCAGNCATTTTCTTTTTTGGAAAAATAAATAAATAAATGAAACAAATAAATAAAGGAAATAAATAAATCGACGAAATAAATAAATTCGCAGACGAACAATTACTATAACTCATTAAAAGAACAAAAGTTTTGCAAGTGGCTACGAACTGGTTGGCTGCAGACATAAATACTACTACTACAGTCCTCAAGTAGGTCCAGCCAATACGTCACCGGTCGCTTACTCGTCGAAAATACATTGTTCGGTCTGTAAGAAGCATGTTATCTTAAAAACATTTTGATTGATATAGAGTTCCGTTACCAATATCACTAAAATATCTAGCCCTAGAATGCCAAGTACTCGGCTTTCTGCAAAAGTTTTAATAAATTGGTCAGAAATTAAAAACCACCTCCAGGTTTCGCTCATTTCATATGATACTTTGAATTTTCGATACGTAGCTGGTAGAAAAATTACTTAAAATGAAAAATATGAAATTAAAAATGACTAACTTATATTTTATTACCACTAGAATATATTTTTCTTACGAAATCAACTAAGTTGGCAATTTGAATGCTAGATTAATAATAAATTCTTACACAGTAAATTTTGTTTTGAAAATATTAGTGGTAGCAATAATTTTTTAGTTATGTGAATTTATTAATTAAAAGTATTCCAAATGCAAAGCATTGAAATTCAAATTTATAATTACATTATTAGTAATAAGCTCATTAAACGTGTCTTTTTGTTACAGGTGAGATCCGATGTTACTGTAACCAAGCATCCTGTGTATCTACAGGATACATGTGCAAATCATCCTCCTTCTGCTTTAGCGATGTGACAATCGGAGTACATGGATGCCTTGAGAAGCGACGATGTGTGGGACTCCGATGCTGTAGGGAGGATATGTGCAATTATCTAGAGGCCCAAATGCAAACTTTTAAAGCACCCATATCAGGTATGGGCATTGTTTGTTTATATATATATTTTGTTCTATTAACGTTTCTGTTAACATTTTAACACTTAATTTTTAAAGAATACGGCACTTTTTTTCCGTTCTAAAAGGCTTAAGTAACAGAATGATTTTACAATACAATAGATTTGAACCTTTCTGGCTTAGATAATTTCTCCTAAGAATTTCTGACAAGTGAAATATTAGCAAATGTCACCTTAGATTATCATCGTCATTAACATATATTTAGTCGCTAGAGGGCGTTAATGATCCTTTTCCATAGATCCAAGAATTCTAAGTAAAGAGTTACACTCAAACTCTATGTCTTGAAAAAAAAAAAAAAATGATGGACGCTTAGAAGTTAACAATTTTACATTTTTAATATTTTGGAATGAGTGTAGCCTGCCTGGACGCACTGCGTCAGAAAAGGTAAACAGAATATTCTTATCAATGGAAATGTATCAATGCCCAGTTGGGAGAAGCGATGGTTCAGGAGATAGATAGAACACTCGTTTACCATTGAGGTGATCTAGGCTCGAATCCTGGTGATGACTGGTTGGTACGAATTCTGTTACCGGTTCCCTTTATACGAAAAGGCTGAAAGACAAGGAATTTAGTTTAACTGAAATATAGTTAAGAAGCGAGAAGATATTTTAAAAAAGTATTTTAATAAACAGTGACAAATATTTTAAAGCTAAGCGTTCTATTTATGTATCTAATCGGATGCCACTTCTTTTATATAAATGTTAAACTTGTCTGCACTGTGATAAAATTAAACTTATGCTAACCTTACATTCGGCCTCGCTCTATGCTAAAAGTAGATATTTACATTGAAGCGTAGAGAGTAAAGGTTCTAGGACAGATTTCATCTAAGTCTATCAGGAGGGCGTCGATTCATCGCTAATTTTGATATTAAAAATTACCTGGCAACATCCAATTAACAGAACTTTTAACAAAACAAAACACTATTTTTATAGATCGACAATAAGAGCCATTCAAAGCGACAATCGACGATTTGAAATTTTCTAAACCGATAATTCGATATTAAATCTAAAGCATTAAAGTTGAATCTACTACAAAAATTATAAAATTTGCTAAATGCTTTTTATTATTTTATAGTTTGCCAAATAATCATAATTTCGTTATTTTAGGCTCAATTGGAGAAGAACATTTCGATGATTCCAGAAGCATTTCTCTAACTGAAGGAGCACTTCGAAGGGAGGTATGGCTGAAGGCAGCCATCATTGCTGTTCCTGTTGCAGGAATCTGTATCTTAATTTTATTGGTTGCTATAGCAGCCAGAATGCTCAAACAGGACGCTGAGCGACAGAGGCGACTCCTGGAGCTCAGGAGGGTGTACGGACATTCCATAAGAGACACTTTGCTTCCATGGAGCAAGGAAAAAAGTTCGACGATAGTCTAGTCTAAATAGAACATTTATTAAAGTCTATCCATGTCAGTATGAACAAAGACCTGTAAGATTAGGACCAAACGAGCTTGTTCTGCAACACCCATATATAAACCCCTACATAAACAATCATTGTTTGAGTCTGTATTAGAGTTGGATCTTGAATTGATGATTCAAACAATCATTTAGTGATTAAAATGAAGTCAGGGTTTGTATCAATTCTTAAAACGCTTTAAACTATTTTTAAGGTTTTTAAAAAAGGTTTATTTGTCCTTTATTGACTCTTAATCTTTTCTTATAATTTGCCTAGTTCCTGTGGAACAATTAATTATTCTGCAGGATAATTAATTGTTCTGCTGGAACTTGGTGCAAAATAATTGTTCCAGCAGAACAATTATTTTTTGCTATTGTGTAGTTGCCGAAGGTTTAAGTTCTTCACGTCACTTTATTTGATTACGAACCCTGAAATTCGTTTTGATAATGCTAATACTGCCTTGCAATTGAAAAAAACAAACAACGTAAGTGCTTAACGATTGATTCCGAGAAAAATGGCTTGACAACTATTTTCCTTCTATTACTAATAGCTGTGAGCGTTAAAATGGAATTTCAAAAAACTAATAAAACCAAATTTAGTTTTAAAAAAATTCTTTTGCAATATGTAGCTTAGCATACAAAGATGCCAAATATATAAAAATCTCAATTTTGAAATTTTTTGTCGCTTACTTTGATTTTTCAATTGCACGGCAAAATATGTTGATTCGTAGTAATTTATTACATCTAACTTATTCCAATACAACCTTCTTATTTATTTTGATGCTTGATTAAATCAGTGATTCTAAATTCGTGATTTGATTCAACTCCCAATCGTTGATTCACACGAAACTAGCCGGTTTCATTTTGACATAAATATCACTCAGTAATTCTGATCTCTTGATTTGAATCAGCTTATTCAAATGAATGATATGAATAAATTGATTATAATTTGTTGATATGAATAAATTGATTATAATTTGTTGATATGAATTAAAATCCAAAAGTTAATTTAAATTAATGTAAAGGGTGCTTAGCGTTTTTAAGAAGTGCTTAAAGGTGCTTATTTCGGATTTACATTTTTTTTAAAAGCCCTTAAAGGTGCTTTTTTTTATTCGGGGTATGTAAAAAGTGCTTTATTTTCTATCTTTTAAAAAGGGAATTTTTTCTATGCCTTTTCGATAGTCGTTCTAAATTACAAAAAATGTATGATTTTCACAATTGTCTCTATAATATTTATCAGAAACTAGTTATTTTAACATGATTATGTAAAGTTTTTGAAAAAGTTTTAATTATTAAATTTTATTGATTTTATGTTTATAAATTACGAACTTTAATAAACGATAGAAAAGAATAATTTTTATTACTGTACAGATCCTAATTATGATTTTTTTATTTTATTTGGAAGGTGATTAAAAATATTTTTTGAATGCTTAAAAAGTACTTACAAGGTGCTTATTTTTTGTTGAAAAATTTGGCTATGCACCCTGATTTATTATAATTAATTAATTTATTTAATGCGCAATACGAATCAACCAAATTAAAGTATTCATTTGATATGAATCACTTCATTTTGTAGAATTCTAGATGAAACAAACAATCGATTGATATATACCATATGAGAAGTTGATGTTCCTTGTTAAAGATATGTTATAAACACTGAAGTTCAAACTGGATTTCAGTTGTTATCATATGGGAAGTATAATTCACTCCGTGATGACTATTCATGACTATGTAAAATGACTATTCATGACTATGTAAATGATCTCTTGTGCCTTTGTTTTATAAAGTGTTCATCAGTGTCCTGACTTATTGCACAAATCACACCATATTTTTGTAAATAATATTTCATATAGATATATACATATATTTTCATAAATGCGTTTCTGGCATACTTCAATGCCTTTCAGTCATATGGAAGGGAAATTACTTGTCTTTTATCAGAAATACATGTATTTTCGTGATTGTATTTCTGATTTGTTGCGTTTAATGCCTACCAGTCACTTGAAAGGAAAATTGCCTCCATTCATCAGAAATAAATATATTTTCATAAATATATTTAAGACTTTCAGTCATTAGGAATATTTTTTTTTTTCTCTATTGTCAGAAATATATATATTTTCATAATTGTATTTCTGACTTGTGGTGTTTAATGCCAGCCAGTCAATTCGAAAAAAAAAAATTACCTGCTTTCATCAGAAATAGATGTATTTTCATAAATATATTTATTTTATTAAAAATCTTCACTCATTTGAAATAAAATACATATATTTTCATATTTGTATTTTTGACTGGTGGCCATTTAATGCCTGACAGTCATTTGGAGGAAAACTATTTGTATTTTTGCTGTCGAATTACAATGCAATATCTTTCTTCTTATTTTATGTGTTTTAGAACTGTAAAAAGAAATTATTTTGAACATCGTGCAAGGCGATGTTTGTTGTAAAATAAGATGAGATATTTTGGTGATATTAAAAGATATTTATTATATATAGTGTGTATTGTGATTTTTCCTTTTTTTCTTCTCCTTTTTAAGAGACATTCACAACAAACTACAACAATTTAAAAAAAAAATTATACACAGTTTCTTTAGTATACAAGAAACAACGAAGTTAAAAATATAGAAACAACATGAATAAAAAATAAAGATTATTGAAAAGAGAAGAGGATAAATTATTAAAATAAAATATTTAAAAAAAAATATATAGTATTATTTAATAAATATTATATAATACGAAATAGACTTCTGCTGTACCTAAACGTCACATTCGTTCATAGAGCGGATCCATTCATTCATTCATAGATCATAATTTTAACCTTAACCAGAGAACGACCAATCTCCAATTCAGTACCCTCAGAGGTACAATTTGTTATAGAAATATAGAGGACTTTGTGAACCGACAGATTTAACGTGCACCAGTTACTATTTACTCCACAGGGAGTCTTCGGCCCGCTGTATACGAACTCCCGTTCTCACGAAAGCGAGTCCAGCGCCCTGCCAACTAGGCTATCCTAGCCTATTTAAACAGAAATAAAGACCATATAGGCGAAAGCTTAAATTAAGTTCTACTATTTTTTTTTTTAAAAAATATCTTGTTTTTTTTCTTCAAAAAATTTTGATTTAGTTCCCTACCGCTGAAGAAAATAATTCACAACAACCTCAAATAGCTTTAGTCATCAGACAGGGCTGATTGTGCTCCGGAAAAAATCCGGATTTTTCGGAACCGTGATCCGGAATTTTCCGNTAATCATAAATTCAAGAAAGAAAGACATTTGCAAATTTTGATTACTTCTCGAGGTCATCATAGGTATGTGTAAAATTTTAAATATATTTTAAGTAAACTAAAAAAAATATGGAGAAAAAGGAAAAAAACCTTGTTCAAATTTTTTTCTAATTTTTCGATTTAAACTTCTTTTTTTTTACTCAAGAAATTTTCCGGAATTTTGACTTGGGCTCACAATTACCCCTGAGTATTGTGTATCTATCAAATCCTATGCTAAACTAATTTTTATTTTTATTTTAAAGACTTGATTAACGATGAACTTTTTTGAAAAACTCAATCGTCGGCCTTAAATTCATATTATGAGAAATTGTAACTTTGCAAACCGTCAATTATGAAATAATAAAATAGAAATAAATTACACTTAGGAATTACAGACTTTTGAACTATTCATAAATATTTTTATGTTGCTGATTTCAAATCTGCTCTCGGTTTCTCCCTACAGTAGTTAAGTAATTCAAACAGGATTTTTTAAAATTCACTCGAGGGAATACTAAGTGTCCCCACTTCTCTGCTATCTAAGGAGTGGTTGAAAAAAGTCGATAAAACATTTCAGCTTGGGGATGACATACAAGCTACGCTCATGTGCGTTTTAACTTAAATGTCATTTTCAATAGAGCAGACAAGTGTATATGTATGTCCATAATTCTAAAGCTTCTTATAAACTTGTTCAACATTCATACAAAAAGTAAACTCAATTAAAAACATCATCAAAAATGTGAGCTTTCCAAACAAAATTGATTTTAGATTTGAAATTCGAATTATGTGAGTTCAATTGCTTGTATAAATTCAGCAAAGAATTTGTTTCCCAATGTTGTTCATTTAAAAAAAAAATAAATTAAAGAGTCATAATTTATCCATTGCTTTATTTTAAAAACATGAGCCCTAGCATCCATTATATTGGGCAATATTTTAACCAATTTTATCAAATGAAAAATAATATTATTTGAGTGTAAGTATAATATTATTAACACGACTCAGGAACAAATACAAACTAGGTTGTGGTAATAACAGACATTTTATTTATCCCGCGCAACAAAAAAGTAAAACAGTTTCACTAGCATTTATTTCTCTTTACCGGGTAAGTTTTATGACTGCCTTATTTAAGACTCGAGTCATGGGAAAATTATATTTCTATCGTAAAAGCGTTTTTACTCTGTTTATATATGTATAAAAAGATACTTTAGACATAACTCCATATACATTCCACATCAAAATTGCAATACCTAAAATGCATGTGAAAATTATTTTTCAAGAAAAAAGTTTTATTTTAAGGAATAGTGCTGCCATCTATATTCACTTTGGCAAGAATAATTGAAATGTGTTAAATTTATAGTGCTGACATCTATATTCATTTTTTATAACTGCATCTGTCTTCACAAAGGGATTTGGGTATGAGATCATATTTTATTTAATTTTCATAATATGAGGGTTGTCAATTACTCAACTTGCCGGTATATTTCGAAAAATTCAAAATAGATGCAATCATGCTCTGAACCGTTACCAAATCAAAAGAAAAAAAAAAGTGAGAGTTAGAAAATTTTGCAACCTTTAAATATTATTAACACATTTTAATGGCGGTAAAAAAGTAATATTTCTTTGAGTAGTGTCTTCTAAATTTAAAAGTGTTACCTTTGTGTTTTTAAAATCCAAAATTTTGTCCAGAAAGAGGCATCTTAACAAGCCAACAGCATTAGTTTAATTTGCGATTTTAAGCGTTATAGTATTTTTAATTTTATTTCAACGAAACTCATTATTTTATTCAACTTCAAATAAATTACTGCTGTTAATTAATATTTTGTATCATTTATAAATTTATTTCCTTGTTATTTTAATCTCTCTCTTTAAATTTTTTTAAATCTTTAAAAAATGAATGTATAGTACATTCAGTTAAAGATAACTTGTCCCAGAATAATAAAAATAAAGTACAAAATAAAATTTTTTAAAGCATATTCTTGATTTAACTTTTTCTGCAAAAATGCTGGTATGACTATGTACTTTTAACCCTCTTTCTACTATACGTATCCAAGGAAAACAGTAAAAAAAATTAAATACGAGCTTATCATACTCAATTAATTTATTCTAATGCTCTACAGAAATTAAATTTTTCTTCTTACTTTAATTATTTTTTATCCCTATAACGTAGCGTCTTCAGCGTTATAATGGATACAAATTAAAATAGAGTTTATAATCGTTTGTACAAACTTGGAATCAAGTTCGTAAAAAGGAAGTTTAAAATTTTTTTTAGCATTTGCTTTCATTTTCTAGATTTACATTTGCAGCTTTATGCCGGTGGGAAGTTTACGCAATGAAAATGTAAATAGATAAGGTTATGAGCAAAAAAATTTAAAATAGGTTTTAAGCGAAATAATTTAAAAAAGGTACTCGATAAATATTTATATATATATTCAAAATTAATAAAATCGTAAAACAAGCATATTAAAGTATACAAGCAAGCTTATATTTTTACAGTGATATGTCGGCGACAAGGGTAGAAGCCTCCTATTAAATTTAAAATAATGGAGATTGAGTTAAGAGATTTTTCGCGTATTTTTTGGACAAGAGATATTTTAACTATCAAGGCATTTGAACAATACAAGTGTATACCTGCCGACTTTTAATCCTTTCGAAGATGATTTTCCCTAGTGGTTGTAAAATGGAATTTATTTACAAGGCAAAAACACACACTGTATTTTGAGGGAGCTTATGCAGACTACCACAATAGAATAGTATTACATATTAATATATATGCTCAATTTTTAAAAAAAATAGTGGTTGTCAAAAATATTATAAATTAAGTTCATAAATGTAAGGGATGTATAGAAAGCATACATTTTACTACCACTATAAATATAAAATTTTACGCCAAATGCGTAAAAGTTGGCGGGTATTCATGTAACATAGTTGTAAAAATATTTGCGGTGTTATTTTTAAATTAATGTTAAAAGTGAAAGCTAATATTTAGTTCGCTTAAATTAAAATTAAAACTTTTGTTTGATGAAGTAAATTGGCTAACATTATTTTAATTTTTAAAAGGAGGCTTGCTCTTCGCATTAGTTATCAAACAGCAGGGGAATGATATATATGTCACGGCGAAAGACCGAAATCGGTGTTTGTTGACTTTCACCGGTGAATGTCGACAAACACCAAATACGTCGGTGAAAGATCGAATATTTCATTACATTCTTGTACATTCGGACTCTCACCGGTGTATGTCGACAATCACAGATATGCTTTGGTGAATGTCCGAAATATTTATTACATTCGATTTGATATGAATTTATTCGTGGATATAATTACATTT